ATACTTAAAACGTAGAAAAATTGGGAATCGACTCGCATTACCTCAATCCCATTCCCATTTTTGAGGACTTCATTTCCCATTCCCAGTGGCCAAATCCCAGTCCCAGCAACCCAAATCCCATTTTCCCAGTCTAAAATAGATCAATCCCAGTTCCCATTTTACCCCTTCAGGGCCCTCAATAATGAAAGATATAATTGAATGAATACATCAAAATGGATTTCTATTCGGACAACCCTTTCTGAGCGCTGATTGGCTAAAATACGAACACGAGATCACCTGGATTTTTTTACTGTTATTGTTTGTGGTTGATTTTCTCTGGGTACGAGAATGGAAAAGTAAAAATTACCGTCATCTTTAACAATTTAGCAAATTAATTACCTAAAATCCAATTTTTGATTGCAAAATTTAGGCAGATGTAAATCAGCCCTACACAGTTTCTTGGAGGACATGATAACTAAGATGAATGAGAGAACCACAGAGAAAGACGAACAGAGTCGTACGATCATTTTGCCCCATTGCACATGGGACAAATTCGGAGACATTCTCGCCAACAATGGGGGAAAACTGTATGGTTTGTTTGATGAGATGATCTCATTCTTTTCCACGATGAACATGTATTCTTCTTCGCGGGCCGCAGTACAGGATAACCGGGAGTACCAAGATTTTTTAAAAATGTTTACCGGCAAAGGAAAGACTAGAGAAACCAGTAAGTCATCCCGCTACTGTTTATTTCCAACATCCATCTGCATGGTTTCCGCCAGTCTGGTAGAATATTATAGCAAACAGCCATATTTTTGAGATCAGTGAGGTCCACCCAAGAACCATAGTGACGCGCCCGCGATACTTCATGAACTTTAGACTTCGCTAGTGCTTTCCTTTCCTCGGGTGTAAATAGCCGGGCGGAATTAGTACCCTTGCCCCGGGCTTACGCCCTGAACGGCGCTCCGTGCCGTTGCCTCGGGGATAAACCGTACATATATATCTACAGTAACATACAATTGTGAATTTTGCACGACGCTATAGATATCGGGTGGAAAACCACATTAAATACAGATAATTTTATACAATTCTTTATTACTACAGACAACTCTATAATGCATTCATTATTTAACTGTCTTTTATTGATTTTCACTTCTTTTTCAGTAACGGGAAATGCCAACTTTAACATGTCCCAGACTTCCCTAACGTTACTAGGGTTCACTCAACCACAGTCGGCATTGCCAATTATACACAACCCGCAAAATAATGCCAAGGGTTTCACCTCAAGGATACTTTGGTATTTTCCCAAACCTATTTACAGTCGCTTGAAAGATCTTGAGCTGACAACAGAAGAGATGCAAATAGCAAAGGAGGGTGAAGAGATGTTACGTAAGTAACTTTAAATAACATAACTATATAGTTTGTCATATACAAATTCAGGACTCCTAACGAAACCCAAACTTTCTAGTACAGGATTCATGCATGTTGCCATTCAGACACATGACGCCGACGTCTTGCTTTTCATCCGTACAGGAAATTTTCGATCCGAAAAAAATGAGGAGAAACTATATAGTTTCTATATTCTAACCTTTTCCGTTTAGCCAGAAATGGAGGATGTTGTGTAAAGGAGGTTGCACTCCCAATTCTTAAGGGAAAGGAATTTTCGACATCTTAGTTTCTCCGAACATCGCTTGGCTTCTTCGTTATATGTTCTCGCTTATATTCAATAAATTTCCCATCCATTTTTTAGTTCAAATGCTTGCTAACTTGTACCTGGCTGCGGAAGACACATTCACCATCACTGAAAACGACAAAATTGTTGATGTCAAGGTGACGCGTGACAGATATAGTTTATCTGAAGACGCCAAACATCTATTTGCAAAAATTCACGACGACTGGGAAATAAATTTGTGTCAGAAGTATCATTACGACACACTTATAAGTGGTAAGTCTTTAAACCAAAACGCTAACGCTATGTTCTTCCTACTATTGACCCAAACGTTTGACCTAACTGAAATACTCCAAACAAACATAGCAAATTTATTTTTTCCGTCAATCTATTAGCTTCAAGTAGGCACATATGTATACATTTTCGTTGTTACTGACAAAGATCACGATAGTGCCAAACACATATCTTTTATGCAATTAAGAAGACATTTTTTAATGCCACGTAACATTCAGTTACGCTCAATTTGACTTAATTAAAAAATTTTAATGTTTTTTTCCATCAGCAAAAACACTTCAACACAAATCATTGTGAGTGCATAAACGAGTATTCTAGAAAATATAATGATAGACTGAAACAAGTAACCTCTTATATATAATACCATCACGTGTTACCTTTTTTAAACTTTCTTCTTGAAATGCTGAATATGTTAGTCGACGGTGCACATTTCCTTAGTCAACTCCGTCATGAATACGTTATTTTTTAGGTCTATTCGCTAGAGGAAATTCCCACGTGATACGGTTAGCAGTACCATTACACCACCTTTTTGAAGTTTTCAAAGACGATGATGTTGAAGATGGAAACACAGGAAGTCAAGACAACCACTATACGATGGCGTATGACGATGATGATGTCGATATTATTCCTGATTCCCTTCAACAAGACGCAAGCTCAACATCATCCCAGCAAGCTCATTCTACACCAACCGAAAGGGTAGTCAAGGCACCAGCTATAATGGCGGCACACTCCATTGTCGACAGTTGTTTGCGCCATTGTTGTAAGTATTTTTAACCTTGTTAGTTCATCACATGACTATATAATAACCTAAGAAAGTTTTTTTGAGGTATCATGAACAATAAAGGATCCCTGCTTGACGAAAGTGAGGAAGAAGAACCGTTATCGACACCTCCGCCTACGCCAGTGAGACCAAATAGAGATCCTCTACTGAAATATTATAAGGCAATCTTGCTCACTCCTGGCCCTTTAGTTTCGGCGTCTGTCCTAATCACAAAGGGAAAGTTTAAAAAACTCATCGTTGGAAGCGAGACAGGTGCATCAGCCGCAAAGATGTTGATGGACACTCTGGCGAAGAAAGGGCTTGGCGAAATTAACGCCTACCGTGGAGCTAATAGTATTCAGGTAAGCATGCACGGGAGATTCACTCTTTAGATCAGTATCACAAACTAATTTGAAATTGGTCTTCGCTCGAAACGTCAGAGGAGGAACAAAATTTTTCTTCATTTCTCTGAATAACCGAAATTTAAATTTGTTCACGCAATACACACACCCTTTCGATAATAGACTGTACCCCTTGCTTCTTTTACTAATGATAGCGACCCTCTCAGTCCAGGAAAGTATTCGTTACGTATTTATTTTATTTAGGCCAGTAATTAAAGTGCGCTTAAAATTTGCCTATATAGGATAAAATTGTTACGGCCTGTGACATTTTTACCATTGCTTGGATTACCTATTTGGGTTCTCTGTGATCAATTACTACACATAATAAAATCATCACGCCATCCACTTTCACCCCACCCACACCAAAAGTTGCCATAAATATTTTTCTTCTTTCATTCAGACGATTTTCCTCAGAAAGACAGAAGTCCCAGATGACATCGAAGAGCAAGGACGTATGGCAAAAATTTTGCAAACATTTGGGCTGTCACTACGGGACTATTCCAAAATGTTCACCACCAATAACGATTTAAGGTACAGTACTGTACAATCATATATGTTTTACCTATCACATACTAAGGCTGAAACTAATGCTCAACTTCACAAACTCTCATATCGACGACACGAAGTTGGCTCAATTTTTTCCACCAATTGAAGCCATAATTATTGTATATTAGCAGGAGCGATGATAAACACATCTGACTCGCTTCACGCCTGACTGATGACATCGAAGTTCTCCTTGTCTTTTTCGGATAGTTAATTTACCCCAGAATTCTTAGTTGTTTTCAATTGATTTTATTGTAAAAGAGTATCGACTTTTCGACGAGAAATTCTAATACTTTATTGTTAATCAGTCACCATGGCCCTGCTTTTAATAACTTGGTCCAATATGTGGGATGCTTGCGAATGTTTGGAAAACGTACGAAAATGCAGCATGGTGCATGGTTTTATAATTTTTTGTCTCAACGCGGACATCATCCAGAAATCTAACGTTTTTCCATCAAGCTAACATCCAGGCATACAAACCAAATTCTGTGCCACGCCTTCCTTGTCAGACTTTAAAGACAATATCTAAAAGCCGAATTTTACAGGGCAATCACGTGTAGCAGGTTTAGTTCTTCACATTACTTCAATACGTTTAATAAATTCTTTTCTATAGCCAACTCCACGCCGAGGATTACCAGAACAGACGAAAGAGGATAGCTTCACCAAATACAACTGAGGAACATCCAGCGCCAAAAACAGTTCGAGTTGACGTGCACAGTGCGAAGTAACACAACACATGCATGTACATTGTTATTACAGCACACGGTATCAGCACAAACACGAAAACATCGACCCTATTCCAGTTAATTTCTGTTACGTTTTAACTTCCATTCATACTTGTAATTACATTTCCTTTCACAAATATATATAATAGACAGATTTAGATTGAGGACGCGGACGTCAAAGACGACGTGAAAATGGCGTCAAAATGGCGTGGCATATCCATACATGGGCAGAACTCGCCATTTTCACGTCGTCTTTGACGTCCGCGTCCTCAATCTAAATCTGTCTAATATAGTGGTGACGGACGCAAAGACAAATCAATCAAATCAATACTGCAATAGGCTGTCTTAGTGTTTGGTGATTTGGACGGGGAAAAGTCCTTCTTTCAATTAAACTTTAACGACTTATGATCTTACGCTTCCTATAATAACCAGCAACCTTTATTTTAAATAGAGCACATTTCATTATCGAAAATGGACATATTTTTACATCGTTATTAAGCCTTTTTTCCACTAGCGAATTTCTTCGCGTGAAGCAATTTTTTATTGTACTCTGTAGAATGGTATATTTTCACATATTGTTTTACAACATACGAAAGTCTAGGCTTCAAAATTTTTATACTGCTCTTAAGGGTGAAGACTTTGTATCCGTGTGTATTTAAAAAATGTTTTGAAACAAACGAATAATATTTAGAAACTTGACATTCTGCATGAAATAAACAGCTAAAGGCTTTAGTTTAGCAGTAAACAAACAACCGCCAACCGGTTATAAAGTTTCCAAGTAAATCTTATGCAGAATTTTAACTTTACGTTAACTTCGTCAAACCGTTAACCGCTTTTTCAAAACTTTATTAGTTTGTAAATACTCAAGGATACAAAGCCAAAGGCTTGAATCTTCACAGAAGTACAACAATTTTGTCTTTCGTACGTCTGAAAATTCGTGGCTTCCTGACTCCTAACAGCGCTAATATACCAACTCTCTACAATCCTATATCATATAAAATATAAACTCTTTTTCCTTTTTAACAAGACGCTCTACGGAGCGTTCACTCGCTGGGGCTATACAACTACCCACAGTACTGTACAATGTAAAGTTATATTTAGTACGCTACATTCTTCTTCAAAACTGTCAGCCGCCAGTTAGTCTAGGATTTTCAAAATAAAATATTTTGGGGCTTTTGGGCTCAAAATACTATCAAAATGAAGCGAGAAGTGAGACGAATCCACTGGTATACGGCCGAAAAAGAGAAAACCAATGATACCAAAGTTATCAAGGGTCAAACGTACTGCATTTTTTTATGCACCTATCAATGTTTTCCCCCTGAGGGGGGGGGTGGGGGTGGGGGGGGTGCGGGCAACCCAGGGGAATTTTGACATTTTTAAAATTTTGTCGTCAAAATCCCCACTGTTGGGCAAGGAACGGCTGTCAAAATTCCCCAATGCGAACATACAGTCTATACTGGTTTAAACTTGGTAAAAATTGAGACACTGTACAAAAAAATACCTTTTTCGATGAAAGTTGATCTTGCTTCTCCGCCATACTTGTTACCAGGCCTTTTAATGTCAAAACCGCGCAAACTTTCAAGATGGCGGATGTCAAAATTTCCGGTTATCGTTCCATGTTTCGCGCACCAATATAGGTTAGGGTTAGGGGTTAGGTATTAGGGTTAGGTTTAAGGTTAGGGTGTGTATATATGTGTATGGAGGTATCCAGTTAACTTTTCAGTACACTATAATATCCATTACATAACGTTTACTATATTGGTGCGCGAAACATGGAACGATTACCAAATTTCCCGACTCTGGGAGTTGATGCCATAGGTCAAATTCCCCTCCCCGGTGCTTCATATTGTGGTCAAAGTCCCCTGGGTCGCCCCCCCCCCCTCCTCAGGGGGAAAACAATGAAGTGATTACAAGTAGCCAATTAGAATGCTCAAACACCATTTTGACTACTGAAATTATACTAATTACTTAGAGTGTTATTTTCGAGGTTCTATAACAACCCTATCATTTTTTCTGTGTTGGTGTAATGTACTCAGGTGAATATGATGCTTGTCATGTTATACTCTGAATGTATATCCACGCCGCGCTACAAGACTATTCTTGTTGTAACTGTTAACTGTTAAGCCTGTTTTCCACTTCGCCCGTATCGTACCGTAACGTACCGGTTAGCATGAGCAGATTGAAAAGAGGTTTATAAATCCACGTACTTCCGGGTGTATTCGCGTATCAAAATAAAAAGTTCATCGCAAGTCCACTTTTTTTCGTACTACGGAAGTACTAACCAATCAACATTCACGAAATTTTGAAATTTAAAAACGTTTTCGCTACGTTACGTCACATAACTTAAAAAGGTAGATCATTGCACAACCACAAAATATTCAAATTTGTAATAATTATGCAAAAATTCAATTTACAACTCAATATCAAAGACACGATAACATGTCAAGTCTGATTACGTTTTTTCATACAATCCACAAAGCTCTCTGAAAGTTCTTCTCCACTCATCTTTTCAACACATTGCGAGTTGGATTTCGCGATGAAATCACGCTGCAAGCAACTTCTGTTATTAAATTGTATATCTTACGTCAGCATAATTCTATTTCGTTTATCCATTATGTAAAGCACAAAAAACAAAAATCTCCATCTGTTCATGTGCTTCGTCATTTTTGAAAACATCGAGAACCAATGGAAGGTCTGCTCACAGACTTCCGTGTTCACCTATAATATTAAACAAACAAATTGCACTACACTCAAAAAATTGTCAGTTACACTTTCAACTACCGTTATACTCTTTCCACAATCTTTTCCAAAGGATTATAGGATGGATTATACTCACCCCTTCTAATTCCTCGCATTTATATGGATTACAATTCAACTGACACCACTTGTCCACGTGATTCCGGAAGTGAAACTTGTCCACAACAACGTTTAACCCACTAATTCGTTTGGACGTGTTGGTAATATCCCTTCTTTTCCTATTTTGGGCATATCGCAAAAGATGACACGCATCATCATAACATATTGTACCTATTAAAATTTAACCACACAGTCATATACGTTGTCTATTAAAGTGGCTCAATGCAGTTTTTTAAAAAAATGAAAAATTCACAATTTAGATGCGTATTTTTGGACAATTATTACTTGTTGATCAACAAAAAGTACCTTACTTATATAAAACAAGATCAAAACAGTTTTAATTTTTGCACAAAAATTACGCAACTGCCGTTGCTATGGCAACAATTACATTTCAAGATGCCGGATATTTTGGCTTTAAAGAAATTTAACTCGTAAACGACATCGGTGACCCCCAAATTCTATTTTAATAAAATTATTTCTCTTGGGATAATCAATTATTTTGACAATTTTAAAAAAATTCTGTGCAGCCGAAATTTTTAAATTACGTAAATGTGATTATTCATATTAATTTTTTTTTCCTCCACAGAATTTTTTTAAATTGTCAAAATAATTTATTATACTAAGATAAATCATTTTCTTAAAATAAAATTTGGGGGTCACCGATAAGAGTTAAATTACTTTATAGCCAAAATATCCGCCATCTTGAAACGTCATTCGTGCCATAGCGACGGCAGTTGCATAACTTTTGTGCAAAAATTCAAACTCTTTAGATGTTGTTTTAAGGTATTTTTGTTTATCAACAAGTAATAATTGTCGAAAAATACTCATCTAAATCGTGAATTTTCCATTTTTTTAAAAACTGTATTGAGCCACCCTTAAAGTACATGTAGCTGTATCACAATTATGCACAAGAGAAGAGAGCACTTACCAACACTTTCCATACTTTCCATTTCCAAAGTGTTGTGAACATGGCCATAAACTTGACTTTTTGACTCACATTTGAACATTTCAGCCACGTTAACAATAACACCACAAGGCCACATAAATGCCAAGCATCCTGAATTGTCAATTTAGTGACTTTAGCCAACCGATTTACAATTGATAGTACATGGGATGCTATGTATAGTGCATTAATACTTGTAATTTAAAAGATTATGAAAACTCTGCCGATTGTAAATAAATGCTTCATATACTATGCATTTTATTATTCTGTCACTCACGTTCTTCGTTTGCTAATTATTATTTTCAGCAATAAACTCATGTACTAAACATCAATTTCAAAGCTCAGTCCAAGGAACTCTAAAGCTCAGTCTCAAAGCGGCGGCCAAAACGTTATCGTTCTTATGTTCCGTTGCTTTGAACCTTGATAAAGGTACGAGTGTTTTTGTTGTCAATTTTATAATGCAAGAAAGATGGAAAAATATCGCCCAAAATATAGTATAACAAAACACAACATGATGACAAATATTTTCTTTGAATGTCAACTTTTGTTTAATTACTGTTATATTTAAAGTTAATTTACTACATTTCAAGCCGTGATAAAATTTTTGTCTAGATTTGTTTAGATCAAAATTTTGTTCATTAGGTAATAGGTCCATTCACTTGAGCTGTTCACGTCAAAACACTATATGAAGACTTACCAGCTGTTTTTAAGTTTTTCGCCTTATGTTGTTCTTTCAATGTTCCACACGAAATCTTTCGTTTTTCTGTTTCCCCAACTTCATCATCGTCTTCGTCTGCAATTGCAAAGCCGGAACTGCAAACAGAAGTACACATTAAAGCCTTAAATTTTTCGTACATTTTCTTCCAAAAATTTTGACCTTCCAGTCAAAACTGTACAATACTTTTCAAAAGCGCCACTGCAACCAATTTATACCATTAATACAGAAACTCAGCTGTGTATACAAGGATCACCATACATCACAATCTACTGGCAGTATCCGCTCCGCCTTTCCTCCGCGACAAGGAGGAAGAGTCAGTCCCTTCCCAACAACAGTATCACCCCAAAACTACTGAATAGCTGTACAAGGGACTATGTAATTTATATCCCAGAAAACTCACCCTAATTTCCTTCATAACGCGAGGAACAATTTTACACCAATTTGCTTTGAAAGCATGTTTTAATAGTTTATATGAAAACCTGAGCCAGCCAGTTAGATGCGATTTCACTTACATTACATGGAGCATAAATTTATAATTATGTAACAAATTCACCTAACTAAGTATAGTAACTATTTTCATACTTACTTTTCAACTATGTCTTCTGCTTCTTCGCCTGATTTATTAGGTACCAACATTCGTATCTTTTTACCAAATTGTATCATGTCAACAGCTTTAACAATGTTTCTACAATGCTTGCCTTGTAGTCCTGATGGTAAATCACATTCTTTTACCCATGACATCTTCCCATTTGACCATTCAACCTGCAACAACATTAAAACCTCTATTTTATACCAACTTTGTTCCCTTACTATAAAGGTTGAAACAATACATAGTTCCATACTTAGTACTTGCTTTTTGGATGCCATGTTGGTACTTGGTATATAATGAAATATTACTGGCCACCAAGATGGTGGCAAACATAGTACATGCTTCATCAAATATGTTTTGTTACACTCATGCGGTCATGCCCATTTTTTCTTTCACATCCAACTAAATAATATTAGGTATTGTTTTATAAAATTAATATAATATTGGAAAAACGTAGCTTCCAAAAACATATTCTTAAAATGCCGATGTTAACAATGAAAAACATTAAACCTCTTGACCACACAAAGGCAAAATTGTATAGACTTCGAATTTCCATGAATACTGGGTATAAAATACAAATTAATGGAATTTAAACAAAACAATACTTGGTGTAACAATACACAAAATATACACAGCCAGAAACGCGCAAGTCGGAACAGATCTGCAACAGATCTGTTAAATCCTGTTGTCAACAAGCCGATATCTGGATGCGTTCGCTCGCCTTGTACCTGTCTGTTCTGACAGGTCCGCAACGGCCTGTCAACAGGTCTGTTAGAAGCTGTTGTGACAGAGCTGCAGCACTGCTGTTTTCAACAGGTCTGTTAGAAGCTGTTGTGACAGAGCTGCAGCAATGCTGTTTTCAACAGGTCTGTTAGAAGCTGTTGTGACAGAGCTGCAGCAATGCTGTTTTCAACAGGCCTGTCGCAAGTTGTTGACACAGAGCTGCATTGCAGCAATGCTGTTTTCAACTTGCGACAGACCTGTTGCAAACCGAGGAAAGCATCTTATGAAGCTTGTGTATTCACTATTTTGAACAAAAAACGGCCAAACAGGTTGCCATATTTCGGTTGTAGTGTTTCGTGAAATAGCCAGATCATATGAACACTTATAAACAAACTTGCGAGATAATTTTTGAGCAAAACAGCCGAAAAAATACGACAAATTCAAGAAAGGTTCTTATCGTAAACAGTTTTCAAAATTAATTGGTCTTTATTAAGTACGACCGAAATATGACAACCTACTGTACTTGCATATTTTTCTTCAAAATAGTACATACAATAACACAAAGCTTCAATAAGGCGTCTTCCTCGCTCGCAGATTTCACTTGAAATTGGAAAGAAATTATATAACGAATTTCATATTCATATCAACAATGAAGAACGTTGCAGTGAACACTCGGTTGCTCATGTATTTTTTATTTCTTAAGCTCTAGATCTTGTATCTTATTGCCACAGTTTCTTCAAAGATCAAAACAGCTTTGAACTTGTTTGACTTTGTTTGAGGCAGTCACATTTTCGATTTGTTTCCCAACAACAGGCTTGTTGAAACTTGTTGTGACAGGACAAAAAATTTTTGTTGTGGACAGGTTTGTCGCAGGTCTGATAACAAGCTTGCTGCAGACTTGACAAAAACAACTCGCGACAGGTCTGTTGGAACAAGTTGTAACAGACCTGTTGATTTCAACAGACTTGCTGCAAGTTGTTCTATCAGACCTGTTATCTCTTGTTAGTAACAGGTTTGTAGCGGGTTGTTTCAACAAGTCGCTACGGCTCTGTTGTCAACAGCTTGCGACAGACTTGTTCCCGCAAGCCTGTTACCGCCTGACGAAACCAACAGACCTGTCGCGACTTGTTGACAACTTGCCACAAGCCGGTAAAATCAACAGCTTGCGACAGGCCTGTGTATAACACAACCAGATGTATACAGATAGCTATATTTTAAATAATGTCACATGTGCTTAAAATTACATGAAAAAGATTATAGGTACAGTAACATTCCAACTAATGCGACAACTCTAAATGTAAGGGTGGCTACATTCAGCCAACTGGGCAAGGATGATGCACACCCGGTGTAACACCCCCCAATCACAAGGTGGCCCATTTTTTTTGGAGGGGGCGGGAATTTTGGAAATGTGGCCAAAATCCTAACGGGGCCCAAAGTTTTGTTTAAGTAGCATGGCACTGACAAAAATTAGTAACTGACAAAATAGTATTGATTTCCTTATATATTACCTCGCATAAATTTCCTTGTCTTGTTAGTTTGCTATTAGTAATCCTCCGAATAACAAGATCCTCATCTGTTGACAATGACCTTTTCCCAACTTCATTGATGTAATCTTCCTCTGCTATATAGGTACGTGCAAGACCAACATGTGTGTCACAATATCGCACTCCTTTACCTGGGGTATTGGGGCAACCTAAATTATAAAAACATGTTTATACAAATATATATTTAGATTGAAATAGCCAGATGATTTTACTCATCAGGGGGAGAGTGCTGCCACTCAAATCAATGGGTTAATATAACACTTTGATGAAACTTACCAATAACAACACCACCAATACCATCAAATTGTAGCTCTCCAACACTATTACATGCACATACTGTACGGGCATTCTTCATATTACCATCCAACACTAACACATTACCACATCCCTTAACTTTACATCGATGGCCTGCAATGTCGGTTTAATAAGAAATTACTGACTTGACTTGCCATTCATTCATTATTCACCATGTAACTGTGTGCACAACTTTTTTATTCTATTTCTACAAAATATATTTTGCATTCTGGCAAAATCCCAAAATATAAATTTACTGCCATGTACTGTACTGTACTGATGTGATATCTATAGTGTACCCAACTACCCATGTGATATCACTTACATGCACATTTCTAGAAATATGTTGGACTGTTGGTACAATTAAGGATTAATAGTACTTTTGATGTTTGGAAATTTGTCAAATTGGACTCGCCCTGGTGTCTCTTCCAATTTTTGACAAAATTTCCAAACATCACTTGTACTATTAATCACTAATTAGCCTTTCTCACACCGCCATTTTTGGGTGGCATTTCAGCTAAGTGTGCTAGATAAGTCCACATAACAGCGACTTTTTATAATTTTTTGAATGATGGTGAATTTGCTTTGTAAATGGTTAGTTTATTTTGAAAAATTGCTTTTCACATTGTTTTAATTGTCTGTATTGGATAACGAGAATTGGATGGTACCTAATAATGGCGGATATTCATCATCGTGAGAAAGGCTAATTCTACTCCCCATTACATGATTACCAACACTAAATTGAAAATTCTCATGCAAAATATAGTTCAGGACTGTAATTACCAGTCCATTTCGCTATAAATCTCTCTCTGAAAACTTCTACCACTCCCTCCACCAGCAAGTTGCGGTCAAAGTCAACATGGGTCATGCACAGGTCATATTCAAAATGCATTTTTAAAACTGCATAAAGCAAAAATGCCTCTTCCAAACGCCGCCTATCAAGACATCTACGTCTCAAAAGCTTCTCTTTTCCAGCAATATTTCTTTTAAACCTAAATAAGACAATATAAATATAATTGTATGGATACAAAGTATGCAATAATTGTAATCAAAGTTTAATCCATGAAGCAACAGCACTCTCCCCTTCTTGAGTAAAATTGTCTGCTGTTAGACCGACTAACATAATAAAGTGGGGAGCATAAGGACACTATCCAACTCAATTGGTTAACTAGACACATGAGCAGATAGGCCAGTTATAAACCCATTAAGTGCTAGCGCTCTCCTTGTGTTAGACATCTGAAGTAAAATAATAAAGTCGGGCACATCAGGGTGCAGTGTGACTCATTGGATTAACCAATTACCTCACAATGTCTCCAGATGTCTCTCCAGACAATCACAGTAAGTTTAGGTGATTTATACTGATATGGCCAGTGATTTATTGAACTAAATCATGTTGTTTTAACAATAAGAATAATAAAAATAAATGTTATGTTAACCCATTAATACTATGTTTTTTAAATAACTGGCAGTACCCTATTTACTGACAATTAAAATTGTCTAGCATTACACAAAGTATAATATCAAATTATGATGTATCTTGACCATTGAGATAAACACTGGCAGATGGTTTTGTTGACCCATTATCTTACAGGCAGTGGCGTAATTTTTTTGACCGCTTGCCCGGAGAGGGCAAGTAGGACATGAAAATTAGTTGCCCTGAATAAAATTCACTTCCCATCAGACAATGGCCAAGTGCTGGGGTACCTAGGTAGGGGGTATAATGGGGACAACATGTAGACCCGTTCTTCCACTGCTCTATATATGGCTATGTTAGACTGCCTCAGATCTACCTTTCCCCCACAAAAAAACAAAATTTTAATCAAGTACATGCACTATAAAAAATTTATCCGACAATGAAAACATATACTTAAAGCTTGTTGAATAAAGCTAGTTGTTGAATAAAGCTCAATATTTGGACACAAAAATGTAAACAAAGGCTTTGTTTACATACGGACTGTAGAGCACCTTTAAAGATGCCCAGCTTTTTGTGGCAACTGAAGGCATCTTACCCAATCGGGCAAGCAAGATAAAACATTTACTTGTCCGTCATGATATTCACTTGCTCCGGGCAAGCGGGCTAGTCTTAAGTTACACCTCTGCTTACAGGAGACTGGCACAGGCAAATAAAATTGTGTTGATGTTAAACATCTACGCCGGCAGTTAAAAAGCCAGTCAGCCAAACAGCTTGTTTATAAGGCGGAATATTCTTTTCCACATACGTTTTCTTGATCAGTAGAACTAAGCCATATTTTCTAAATATTTGAACCATACATAACCCAAAAATATAGCAGGATAAAATTTAACCCAGGGTTAGTGCTAATGTACATTTGAACAACCAGTCACAAAGAAAAAACACTAATAAAATCCCTGTATGGGCCAATATGAGTGCATTGACAGTAATAGCCTAATAATGATAATAATAAAAATAATACTTTAACAAATGATAATTTACACATAAAGTCAGTGACTATATTAATAACAAAAAATGTTACTAGAAACATAAAGTGAAATTTTATCCATAAAATGTTTACACATAAAAAAATAAGGCTTTTAGCTGTCCAAATATACCTTTTTTGTATCATTATAAATAGAAATTGAATAAAAATTGCCAGTGAAAATTGCATTTTTCCACTGTTGGGAATTTGGTGACACGTTTTTGAAAGTAAATGCCAATTGGATTTAAAATTCAAGAATTTTAATTTAAAAAGTACTAACATGTCATCACTTCTTAAGGCTATTGTTTGCCATGAACATTATACATTCACTGGTTTCTGTTCTGCACTGCTTTAATTTAATAATGCATAGGTGGAAATATGTAATTTCAACCTGTAATTTTCAACTGGCTTCTATTTGGTCATTTTCGCTTCAAATAATACAAAAATGGCATTATCGGATATGTGTAAAAGCTTGCATTTTCTTGCTGTGTAAAAAAATTATCGATTGTCCTATCTGACTTATTTGAACCGCATCCACCTGGTACAATACCTGTACGTGGGTTTAAGTAAAACTTGATGTTGGATTGTTTGCTTGACAAAGTAGAAAGTTGATGTTTGTGATGTTACCCTCAGTGTCTATCCACACTGGGCAAGCTTGAAAAATGTTATCCTCATTATTTGTTTTATTAAATTTACACAATGGTTGTCGACTCGAGCAATCACGAAGCATGCTGTTTTCCCGAGATCTCAGTAAACAAGTCAACATATACCAAGTATCAAAGTATCATAAATTCATCTGGTACCGGTATGCCATTTTATCTCTTAATAATAGATTATCTTCTTCTGAACGACTTGCAAATCGACCATTGTTTTATTGTTGACCGGTCAACAATTGTTCCGTTGTTGACCCGTTGCCAAACATCAGGTTTTGTGGAAAGATATGTGATGTAGTCTGCCCAATTGACAAACAGGAAAATTGAACTTTGACACTTGCTATATAATGAAGCAGTACTAACTTAACTCATTCAATGTTGTTGAATGAGTTAAATGTCTTCACCATGACTTAATTTCATCTTCCAACTGCTTGTATGAGTGTTAGAGACAAATCCCTTTTTAAATGTGAAAGGTTTCACCCTTCACGTTTATATAATAAATATAAATGACATATTTATATACAGGTTGATGAGGAACAAGCATATGCTTTTACCTTTTTCTTTTAGGATCACATGACCTTTCATCTTCATCACAATCAGACTTATCACTGCATTTTTCATATTTGGAATAACCGTGAACACTGTTGTAAACATTTGCCTTTGCCTGAAAGGGCAAGGCACCATGGACGATTTCTTCTTCAAGATATCGCACAAGATTTAAATCGATTGCTGTTTCCTCCGTAGATAAAAGGAATTCTTTCGATAAGCAATCCCTGTTAAACATCCTCTTCCCACCATAATTATAAAAACCATAGTGCTCTTGAACTTTACACTTTCGACAGTTCTTCGTAAAACGAGAACCTACATAAGTGCCTCGTGTCATGTGATAAACAATCACCTCTTTACCGACAGGATTGGTGGCAAGCTTTCCATTGCAAAAACGACATGTGTCTCGCTCGGAAACAAACACAGCGCTATACGATAAATCCTCTTTCACGCAAAATTCGTTGAAACTGGTGAATGAATCGACACCAGAAAATATTTCTGGGTACATAAAGTTCATATTGTCAATACATGTTGAAAAATTTTCAAAATTCATAGCATCATCCAGTTCCATGGCGTTGGCACGATCTGGGTTGGGACTCTCAACACGTTCACCAGTCACGAAACGAAATACACCATCAGCAACACTACGGACAGACGTAAAAGAAAGTCCTAAAACATTTATAGTTCTAAATATTCGACAAAGAGCGGTCGGATTTTGATTTAAACCCGCCATGTTCAAGTTGTCCTTCGTTCCCAGCCCGAGGCCTAAAAATTCCATGAGCAGCGCGCGAGGACTTCCGCAATTACAGGAAATGTATTTTTTGACTTTTTGAGCCGCGTCTGTATTGACTGATTTCAGCAAGCAAAGACAATTTCGTATCGTATTCTCTAGGGCCCACATTTAATAAGGCGCGTTGCTAATGACGGTGACTATGTTCTCTGATTAAAAATGTTTCAATACAAACTTTCCAGTTTTGACTGCCAGTGCAGTTTTCCTCACAGTTCTGCCACAATCGAAAGCTTGTGTTCAAATCCAACATTTTAAAATCTTTTCGTCAACGTATTTTTAACGTATAAAGCCAAAGTCACTACGCACGACATATATGTTTCATAGTTATATATCATAATATCAATACAGAAAATACTGCATGGAAACGCCGAAAATGTTTAATCCTAGTCAGATAGAATTTCGCGGCGGCCTCATGTTTCATGCTGTTGTGTTTATAAATTTAAACTGATAACCTTTGCCCAATATACTCTGTAGCTGTACTCACATGG